CAAGGGCACGAAAAAACGCTCAATGCCGTGCACTGTGCACTCGTTTTTTTTCTTTTTACTCGCCATTCTTCTCTTCAAGCTCGTTTACGCGATTTTCCTCGCGTTTCCTTTCCCCTTTACAGCGCGCCCACGATTCGCAACAGTTACCGAGCAATTTCACCGTGTTTCTGAACCATTCTCACCGCTTCCACTTGTCTCTATTTTTTTTCTTGTACATTTCGTGTATGTGCCTCGTAAGGGTTGACGTAAGCCGACGGAAGAAGCTGCGGATGCACTGTACACGTACAGACACACTGCGAACGCTTCGGTGAACGCCATTCGCGTACAAGCAGTGTGATTCACCGTGGGAGTGGCAAACAGCGTCCACCGGCTATGCACCTGCGGTTCATGAACGCGCTTCATGTTTTATTCCCACCGGCTGGATAGCGGCCATGGCTTTATATGGGCGTTTGTTTTTGATTCTTCCTCTCTTTGTTTCCTCGAGTGTTATCGTGGCCGTGTTCGCCGTGCGTTTTTGTGCTTAGGTGGTGCAGCTAGGAGCCATCATTTCGTCTCCAGATCCAAACGATGACGCATGGGACATATCGTTGTCCAAATACAAACTAATAAGAAGCAGCAAACAAAAAAAGGGGGAAAAGATGGTCCTTCTTGGCTTGCACGCACCTCAGTGACGGCGCCAAGACGCCGGAAATGGTTCGCGTGCGTGTCGTTAAAGGGGCCTCGACGACTTTCACCACTCTACCTGTCGACAGGAAGTGAACACAAACAAACATATCTAAGCGACAGGGAGGGGAGGGGGTTACGTCAGCAGGCCACCCTTCCCCCCTCGTATATGGCGAGGAGGACATGAGGGTTAGGGTTTATGCCTGCCAATCACTGACATGACTCGACCACATCGTTCGTATCGATATGTCCTTGAGGCGTGGCCAGAAAACTAGGAGAATAGAACAGCAGATTCCGAGGTCTTTAAAGCGCACTCTACACACTGCGCGCGCTGATATTAGCGCAAATTACGATGAAGTACCAATCTAACTCAGATAGGGAGCAGTAAAGAAAAAAAAAAGAGGGAGGGGCAATGATTGGCTAGGAGTTATAGATTAGAATAACGTGCTCACGTTTCCTCATACTTGTGGGAACGTGAACAATATAATGTAATGATGGTATGTAGGATTTAACGTCCCAAAACCACCGTATGATTATGAGAGACGCCGTAGTCTAGGGCTTCGGGCATTTCGACAACCTGGGGTTCTTTAACGTGCTCCCAAATCTGAGCACACGGGCGTACAACATTTGCGCATCCATCGGAAACTCAGCCGCCACAGCCGGGATTAGATCCCGCGACCTGTGGCAATATAATGTAATGGAGGTGCTGTGATTCGCTATGGTATAGTAAAAGCCATGGCTAAAGAAAAAAAAAAGGGGGGGGGGGGTGCAAGGAACAAGAAACTCGGTGTGGTTACCGTCGTCTCGAGTCAGGTCTTATAATAGATCGTTCCTTCAATTCCATCAAATGCTTGCCCCACTTTTCAATGACGTTGATAATCGATCGTTCGATGTTGATCATACTATAGTGGTATCATTAACCGACTCACTTTTCGGTTATCAATTGTTGATATACTATGTATATATGCTGCCTTTCACGTCACTTTCTTTTTAAAAATCTGCGCTGCCCCGCCACGGTGGTCTAGTGGCTAAGGTACTCGGCTGCTTACCCGCAGGTCACGGGATCGAATCCCGGCTGCGGCGGCTGAGTTTCCGATGGAGGTGGAAATGTTGTACGCCCGTGTGATCAGATTTGAGTGCACGTTAAAGAACCCCAGGTGGTCAACATTTTCGGAGTCCTCTACTACGGCGTCTGTCATGATCGTATGGTGGTTTTGGGACGTCAAACCCCCCCATATATCTATCTAAAAATCTGCGCTATACTTGCGCAGGCTTAGACGCACCTTATCTTCTTTATTAAGAGTTAGAAAAAGTTTACTAATCATTTCCTAAATTACAACACCCACAAACCACCGTTCGCGCTACGCGGGCGGCAGATGTGAGCGTTATCTCGCGAAACGGTCCAAGCGTGACGAAAGCGTCGTCGATAGTAAACGCACGCTTTTGTTTGAGGAAACGTGTTTCGTGCCGCTTGTTCTTGCATATCAAAATCATTAAGAACGACAATTACGACCTTTCACAAGGGTAAGTATTTGTCCTCATTTGTTGTTCGTTACGATGGCGTCCGCCCCTCTCCTTCTTCTAGACGTATGCGTATGCTACCGGCGTTGCGGAGCAGTGACCGCAATTACCATTGCGTATTACACGCTTCGTTTCCAGTGCATGTCTTTTCCTCGGCGGCTTTCGCTTCTCGTAGGAGCGCAGAGGAAGGCGCGTGGGAGGCTCGACTGGTCACGCCTCGGAGAGCGTCGTCGCAACAAAGGGTAAACGCTGTGGGAATGTCCGCTCGTTAAGCGATAACAGCTGCGTTTCCGGTCGACCATGCTGTAACGCCTTCCCGAGCATCAGGTAGAAAAGCGCATGGACCGAATCTCTTATTCCGATGCCGGGGCAACCACCTCTGTGTGTATACCAAAGAGTCCAATGAGAAAGCTCCGCTAAAGTCTGTGTGAATTGACCGCGTTAAGAAACTTCGTTATTTTTCTCGGCAAAGTTGTTACCCGTCGAGTGCAACTCATATAGTCCCCGGATCGTTCCTTCATTTTTCTTTCTACCTGTTGTACTACGAAAACACCAGCCTCGGTGACCGGTTGCAGTCCACCCTGAGTACACCCATGTGTGTGCAGTGCTCAGTGCTTCCCTCTTTCGGGAACTGATTTTAGGGGGAAATCCTTAGAAGCATCATCAAACGCAAAAATTAAACGACGTCGCGTCGATGTCTTCGACAGGAGACGATGCCGTGTCGAGTGAATACGCCACCAATGACTTCACTAAGATGTCACAGGTGCCGAATTTTGTGACGTTATCGTGACGTTATGTAGCTTGATGACATCACTTCATGACATCGTATACTTTGCAGGTGCGTGAACAGAAAAAAAATGGGGGGGGGGGGGGGGAGGCACTTCCTAGCTTGATCAGAAAGGGGGACAGTGCAGGAAAATGGTCATTTTGCCCTCTGTATATCATGGATGGATGGATGGATGGATGGATGGATGGATGGATGGATGGATGGATGGATGGATGGATGGATGGATGGATGGATGGATGGATGGATGGATGGATGGATAGATGGATGGATGGATGGACGGACGGACGGATGGACGGATGGACGGACGGACTTTAGTGGATCCTTCAGGACGTGTTTCAGCACGTCGTGGGCCGCTCCCACGTCGGAACAGAAAGACCGAGTCTCTCTGCTGTCTCGCAGGCCCATTGGACTGCTTATAGTTCAAGGCAAGAGCTCGTAATAGCCTTGGTGAAAAAAATATGAGGGGAGGGGGGGGGGCACGGGCCCTGCGTTCTAAACCCTGGCTACGCCACTGATATATTGGTCAAAGGTGAGCTAACCACGGAGGCACTGCAAAACAAGGTGACGTGCCTCCCATCTCGGGAGCCCTGCGGAACCGCGTTATGAGCAGAAAGCGTTTGGTGCATAGCAGGGTAGAATAAATGCAATAGACTGAGAAGAAAATGAACAGGACTTCCGCCTTGCAGTCATCTTAAGCGAGTGCATCGCAAGGGGGCCTGCGAGTTTTTAATTTACTGTCAGTGTGTATATACAGGGTCACAAATCGGACACCGCTCAGCTTGATCTTACAACGCTGGTCCTTTGCGAATTCTCGTCCGTGTTTACTTCACGCTGTTTTTTTAACTATAAATACTTACTAACTGGCTCGCATTCACTCTTTCTTAGACGTCCCTACCTTCCTCATAACCTCCCCGATTTTCCGCTTACCCCCCCCCCCCCCCCCTTATTCTATTTTATCTCTATTGTACTGGCTAGCGCAGATGAGACTTAGTCAAGTTTCAGGCCTTTCATTCTTCAAGGTATACATTAGAGAATCCAAGTTGAGGAATAGATCAGCATGATAGCTCCTCCTACTCTTTTCAGCACGAAAACATCATCTAATCGAAGAGCTATGGATCTGGCATTGCGGTCTCTGGACAGCTTCAACGGGATTGCATCAATGGAAGGCACACACCTAAGCGCTCTTCTTATACTGCATACACCTTGCCTATGGTTGGGTTCCCATTCGTGCAATGTTATAGCAGCACTATTTTTAAGCCTTCACCGCGGTAAGGTGACGGCACTCGGATACGGTTGGAAGAAACCCGACAACTCCATTGTGTGCGACTTGAATGGCTCACTTGAGACGGCAACCCTATTAACGCTCCGGCGGGTATGCACTTGGCTCCTATATATAGCTAGTTGAGCAGAATATATCGGAACTGCCCAGAACTATACGCCCAACCATTCACGCGTGGTGCTTTATTGCGGCTCAAGATAAACCCATAATCGCAGATTCGAAGCTCGCCTGCCCAGGCATTTTCGACCGAGTGCCACGCACAGAGCTAGAGCCAGCCAAACAGAAGCAGCGCAAGTAAAAATAATTTAGTCTGAAATTAAGTAAGTATACGAGACCTATTGTTAATGACGAAATAGTAGAGCTTGATTCTAGGGAGCGGGGTGGGCAGAAGGAGGACAGATGAATTTCTCTGGACCTGCCTATATAGAGCGACAGAAGAGTCCACAACCTTTTTAGGCATCTGTCATGAAGATGAGGAGGGATGGCAGCGTAATATTACGTCCCTCATATGCGTGCGCATGGTCCCGTGTTCAAGAAGGTGAGGGGCACACCACCTTGGCTTGAGCGTGAACCCACTTCCGTTTCACTGCTTTTTACCGCCCCGAAATTAAAGTGATACATTTCAACTTCGTACATTTTACTGAGCAGGAGAGCGCATTCCTAAGCCCTTGTATAAAAGTGGTACGCAAAGTCAAACATTTTCGGTATATCTATCAACGTGGCTTTGTTTCGGTATACTTTGGAAGTTGCTTATGTTTTCAAACATTTTATTCTCGCAGGGTGGCACCAAGGCGAAGCCTCCGTAACGTAACCTCCTTTAGGCGGGTTAAAGCACACGGAGGTCTGTCCCACACGAAGCGATGTCGTGTGGTACGCCGGAGGCTTTCTTTTCTCCTGAGCACCTGTCCATGTTCATCTGCAATAGAATTCAAAAAGGCAGGTGTAATATAACTTGTTGGTGCATTGCCAAATCTGATTTAGGTTCGGCAAGGCTGCCCACTGAACACACAATCAATGTTGAGGAGTCAACAAAGACGGTGAATACTATCATACAGTGATGTAGACCGCTTTATTATGCACAATGGGGAAAGTGAGATTTTAATGAGAACGTGGAGATTTTTTGTCTGGCTTTTCACCTGACATGTTACTCAAGGGGCTGGGTGATGATTTTATGATATCATCATCATCATCATCATCATCATCAACAGCCTGACTATACTCCCCCTGAAGGACAAAGGCCTATCCCATGTTCCTTCCAGTCAACTCGGTCGTGTGCTTGCTGCTGCCACTTTATACCCGCAAGCTTCCTAATCTCATCTGCTCACCTCTGTCTTCCCCTAGCCCGCTTGCCTTCTCTGGGAGTCTAGTCAATTACCCTTAATGACCAGCGGTTATCCTGCCGACTCACTGCGTGCCCAGCCCATGTCCATTTCTTCTTCTTGATTTCAACTATGATATCGTTAACCCCGGTTTATTCCCTGACCCACTCTCCTCTCTTCTTGTATCTTAAGGTTACCCCTATCATTTTCTTTTCCATTGCTCGCTGCGTCGTCCTCAGTTTAAGCTAAACCCTCCAGGTTTCTGCACCGTAAGTAAGTACCAGCAAGACGCAGCTGTTATATCCATTCCTCTTGAGGTATAGTGGTAATCTAGCAGTTATGATTTCAGAATGCTTGTCCAATGTGCTCCATGGCGCACCTCATTCTACTTACTTCAATCTCGTGGTTCGGGTCCGCGGTTAGTATACCAGTCGGAAGCAGACGTACTCTTTTACAAGTTCATGTGCACTGCTACCTATATCGAAGTGGTGTTTTCTTCCGAGGTTGTTCTAAATTACTTTCCTCCGCAGATTAATTTTAAGACCTACCTTTCTGCTCTCGTTATCCAAATCAGTAATCATGAATTACAATTCGCCCCCTTAATTACTCAGCAATGCAGAGTCACCGGCGAAGCGCAGGTTAGTAAGGTGCTCTCCATAAGCTCTTATCCATAGCTCTTCCCATTCTAGACCCCTGAAAACCTCCTGTAAGCACGCGGTAAATAGCATTAAGGAGATCGTATCTTCTTGTCAATGGAAATAAAAATGGTAGGTGTAACCTTAAGAGAGAAGAAGAGAGCAGATTAGATTAGGGAACAAACGGGGGTTAAGGATATCATAGTTGAAATCAAGAAGAGAAAATGGACATGGGCCGGGCATGTAGCGCGTAGACAGGATAACCGCTGGTCATTAAGGGTAACTAACTGGATTCCCAGAGAAGGCAAGCGAGTTAGGGGGAGATAGAAGGTTAGGTGGGCAGATGAGATTAAGAAGTTTGCGGGTATAAATCGGCAGCAGCAAGCACAGGACCTGGTTAACTAGCGGAACATGGGAGAGGCCTTTGTCATGCAGTGAACGTAGTCAGGCTGCTGCTGCTGCTGCTGCTGCTGCTGCTGCTGCTGCTGCTGCTGCTGCTGCTGCTGCTGCTGCTGCTGCTGCTGCTGCTGATGATGATGATGATGATCTTTTTGTCTTACACCCTTGTTTATTGATGTTTTGTCGCTTTCTTTATGGATCACTATGGTGGCAGTTGATCCTCTGTAGATTTCTTCCAGGATGTTTATATATGTTTTGTCGACGGCCCTACGCCGCAGTGTCTGCATGACTGCTGATGCATCTACTGAATCAGACGCCTTCTCGCAATCTATGAAGGTTATATATAGTGGTTAGGTGTTCTCTGAGTATTTCTCTATCACCTGATTGATAGTATGAGTTTGGTCGATTGTTGAGTAGCCTGCTCGAAATCCTGCTTGATCATTTGGTTGAGTGAATCATAATGTTGTTTTAATTTTGCTACCAATTACTCTTTCATATAGCTTGTATACGATGAAGAGCAAGCTGATCGGCCAGTAATTCTTCAAGTTCTTATCATTCTCTTTCTTATCAATCAAGATGATGTTAGCATTCTTCCACGATTCTTGTACCCTCCCCGTCCGAAGACCCTTCACAAACAGGATGGTTAGTTTTCTAACACATATGTCCCCATGCTTTCAGCAATCTGATGTTACCCGATCCTCACAAGCAGCTCTGCCTCTTTGCATTCCCTCCAAAGGCTTTTCTGACTTCTTTTGTCATTACTGGTGTGATGTCATCTGGGTTACTGCTAGTTCTACATTAGGACCGTGGTTGTCCCGGCAACTGTACAGATCTCTGTAAAACTCCTCTGCTATTTTAACCATCCTATACATATTGGTAGTTAATTTGCCTTCCTTGTCTCTTAGTGCATACATCTGGTTTATGCCTATCCCAAGCTTCCTCTTCACAGCCTCCACGCTTCCTCCGTTCTTTAGAGCTTGTTCAATTCTCTCCATGATAAACCTTCTTACGTCGGATACCTTACGCTTATTAGTCAACTTCGAAAGCTCCACCAGTTCTAGTTTGTCTGTTGTGTTTGAAGTTTCATGCTTTTACGTTTCTTAATGAGTTCCTCCGTTTCTGGGACAGTTTGCTTGTGTCCCGTCTAACTACCATACCATCAATTTCCACTGCACACTCTGCTAATGAGACTCGTCAGATTATCATTCATTGCGTCAACGCTAAAACTGGTTTCCTCGATAAGAGCCGTGTATCTGTTTTGAAGCGATACTCTGAATTCCTGTACTTTCCATCACAGTGCTAGCTCTTTGAAGGGCTTCTTGCTTATTAATTTCTGTCGTACCTTCGAGCCAAGGCAAAATCGAGACCTTACCATTCTTTGGTCACTTCATCGTACCTTGCCAAGCACCTCCACATCCTGCCTGATACTTAGGTGTGCCGTCAGTATAAAGTCAATTTTGTTCTTACTTTTACCATTAGGGCTCCTCCATGTCCACATTACGGTTCACTCGTTTTGGGTTGAAAGGCATTCAAGATCCGTAAGTTATTGCGTTCTGGGAATTCTTCTAGCAACTCCCATCTGGCATTTTCAGTACCGATGCCATAGTCTACTACTGCCTCGTCTCCAGCCTGCTTCTTCCATATACATTGGCATTGAAGTCACCCATACCTTACTCATTGGCGATTCAACGTCTTCATAGAAGCGTTCAGCTAATACCTCATCATGGCTGGATGTAGGCGTGTATAGGGCTGTACCACCATCCATCCTGTACATCTTATTGAGTTTAACTTGATACACATCTCTTCACTAATGCTATGGCATTCTTCTATGTTACCAGCTATGTTTCTGGGGATAAGGAGCCCTACCCCCAGCTCTCTTCTGTAAGCCAAGCCACGATAGCAAAACGTGCCCATTCTGTAGCACTGTATAAGCGTCATCTGTCCTCCTAACCTCACACTGCCGTATTGCATCCCACTTAACACCATCTAGTTCCTCGAATAGCACAGACTTGCCTCGCTAGATAAGGTTCGTGCGTTTAGCGTTGCTTAGTTCAGGTTCCAATGGTGGCCTGTCCGGACCCAGAGATTCTTAAACCCTCTTCTGCGTCGCAGATCTGACCACCATGGTCAGTTGCTTCACTGCCCCTGGAAACTTAGGGCCGAGGGTCAATTGGCGCATCCATGTGGGAGGCAGTGGCCAGATAATGCACAAGGGTGGTCAATCCTTCTCCGGTGAGGGAGTGCGTTACCGGCGGTGGTTGCCGGCGAAACCTTACACCAGGCCTCTCAATGCGATTCCATCATCATGCTGATCGTTTTTTTTTTAAATCTCATGGGGAATTTCGCGGAACAGGGATTCGAAGTACGGACCTCTTGCGCGCGAGGCTTATACTCTAACCATGCGCTATACGCCATCGCTGCATATTTATTGTATGATATATACAGTGACAAACACATAACGCATACAACCACGCACGTAGACTACACTATTTAAAAAAGTTTTATTCAAGCTTGTGGCTAACGAGCATGGTGTAAGAATAAGTTCCCTGCAAGATAGTTGGCATTGAGTATGCGAATCATAAGCCAAGAGCAGCTCACAGCTTGAGTAAAGAGGAGCAGCAAAGCGAATCAGTCACATATGACCGGCAGCCCGGCTAAATACGCCTTTGGCGTGGGATCGGCATCAACGAAGACATGAAATTCCTTGTGCAGCTTGAGAGAAACACATGAGGATCCCTCACCCTATCGGTAAAATGGGGTGCAAGCTAAGCTTGGTGTCTACGTACCTGATGCACATTTCCTTCTTTCTTTCTTTCTTTTTTTCTTTTTTTTTTCCTTTCTTTTTTTTTATTTCTCCTTGCACAATGCTCTGCTCCCTCGTTACTGTTTCCTTTATTCATGCGGAAACACGACCTTCGAATAGCCCCGCCGCGGTGGTCTAGTGGCTAAGGTACTCGGCTGCTGACCCGCAGGTCGCGGGTTCAAATCCCGGCTGCGGCGGCTGCATTTCCGATGGAGGCGGAAATGTTGTAGGCCCGTGTGCTCAGATTTGGGTGCACGTTAAAGAACCCCAGGTGGTCGAAATTTCTGGAGCCCTCCACTACCGCGTCTCTAATAATCGTATGGTGGTTTTGGGACGTTAAACCCCACATATCAATCAATCATCAACGACCTTTGAATACGCGTTTGGCAGCACAACACGTCAGTTGCTAGTGGCAACAACGACAGCCACGCATTCACTTCACGCAACAACAAAATGTGGCAACGAGAATTGACAAGTGACTGACAAAAAATTATTTTACGACCAAGCGAGCATTAATGAAACGGCTCAGGCAGACAGACAGGCATATGACCGGCGTTGGGTTTTTCGCACACGACACCGCAACCGAAATCTGCGAATCATATTGAGCCACGCCCAAAGAAAATAAAAGTTCGAAGAGCAAACACCCATTGCTGACAGTGTCAGCGATCGAGTCACAGTTGGGCTTTATATATTCGAGTAATAATAATTGACCGCAGTGAACTACCGCAGTTTTTTTCTTTTGCTTTTCGCTATACGTTGC